TACGGAAAAGGGCGTTTAGGTAAGTAAGACGTATTAAGATATTTTAAGCTTAATACTAATATTATTTTAGATAGACTCGGGTATTAAAGGGAAGATTTAATTAAAAGATTATATATAGCGACTAGGAAAATATATATATTCCACGCGTAGATTCTAGTAGATTATATATAAGTATTATCTTTAGATACCTTATTTTATCTAAACACGTTCTTAGTTAATTATAGTAACTTACGAACTTCGAATAATATTTTATAGTATACTAATCTTAGATAATCGCCGATATAACGCGTTATTATATTAATACTATAATTCTAATAAGTTTCTATTCTTATATAGAACTTATCCGATATACTTTTAATCCTACTATATATAGAATTCTCGCTAATCCGGATAAGACTTATTACTTCTTCGCGTTAAATCGTAAAAAACGAAAAATATATAGTAAGTCGATTCGGAAACGATTAGGAAACGATTAGGAAACGATTCGGAAATATTCAGAAATATTCAGAAATATTCAGAAACGATTAAGAAACGATTTGCGTAATATCTCCTAATATCTTTATATAGATAAAGTTTATATCTCGGGCACTAATAATATCTAATAATAAACCTATAGCATAGAACTTAGATTTTTATTCCTTACGATTTTAAGACGACTCTATAGGTTATTATAATATCGTATAGAGTATACGCTTACCCTCTAATACTACCTTTAAAAGCCCTTACTTTTATAGTAAAAGGTATTTTTAGAGTACTCGCGAAGATTAGTAACCCGAACCTAAAATTAAATATCTTTGTAAAGGTAAGCGAACTAAAAGAGTTTATCGCCGAATATAGAGGGAAAATTATTTTAGATATCTATATTAGTCTCACGAATTCCGACTATCTTCGATATATTCTTTAAAAGTAGTAGATTATCTTTTTTCCTTAAGGTAGTCAGAGTCTCACTTTAGGTCTTAAGCAGATAAAAGAGGTAAATAAATATAAATATATAAGTGAATAACCAGTTATATCTATATATAATTTCTAATATTCTACTCTAGTATATCCAGTACTTATTTAAGACCTGATATAACTATATAATAATCTACTTCTTTAAGGAATAAACGAAAATATAGACTTTCCCGGATATAAAATCCTTTTTCGTCGATACTAACTATAAGTATATTAATAGTATAGAGTAGAAGGAGATTATTTAGGTATAGTATAGCTATAATTCGGAAAGAGGTTTATCACCGAATCGTTTCTAATATCTAATACTCCCTTTAATAAGGTACTATATAAACTCGGAGATAGTAAATATATATCTCTATATATTTTACTAGGTATTCCGGATCCTTAAAGATAAGTATAATATATAAGTTAAATAATAATATCTACACGGTACTAATCTTCTTAGGGTAACCTTAGATTAGGCCTTACTAGCGATTTAAGGCTTTAGTAGATACCTATAGTAAACGTTCCGCCTAGCCGAAACTTAGGAAGACTAGGTATCTTATTATATACGACTCTGTATAATCTATTTCCGGAGAGGTGTTAAGAGTATTCTAGGTAATAATTAAGTAAAAGGTAAAGGCTTAGTCTATTATTTCTTAATAACTCTCTTAGAATACCGGACTCGAGAGGACTCTAATAACCTTTATAATAAGATTACCCGTGAGTCTAGTCTAGAAATATTTCGGAAACGATTCGGAAACGATTCGAAAAACGTATTTATCCTTTAGAGATAATACCTTAGTTCTATAACTAGGCGATATACAAGCGCCTCCTATATATTATTATAGAATTCTGCTAAGTAGCTTCGAATATTCTACTAGAGGATTAGGCATTAATTGCTGATAATACTAATACGGTTAAGGTTATATATTAAGCCTTATATAAATAGACTGGATAATATATCTATATCCTTAACGTTATCTAAGGGTAAGTCTTTTAGTAAGTATTATAAATCTATTCGCTAACCTTTATAGATATAAGGAATATAACTAGATACTACTTATAATAGATTATAATACTCGTTCCCTTTAAGTGTCTAGTTTATAGCGAGATACTAGAATAAGCGGCTAGTTTAATACTATACTTAGTCGGAGAAGTAAGTTCTATTACTTTATAAATAATAAAAGAAAAGACACTAACCTTCCACGGCTTTAGAGAGAAAATATCTTTAGGTAGATAAGGAAAGTGAAGATACTAATCGTAGTTAATTATAAAGCTATACTATAACAGGAAGCCGATCTATTTTAAGATTATCTTTAGATCCTCCCGAGGATTTTAGGATCTTTACTAGTAATAGCGGAGATTCGGATTTTCTCGAAATTCCCTAGTAAAGAGTATCAGGAGTATATTATTAAACGATATTCCTCCTAGACGCTCTCGAAGGCAGCGCCTAAACACACTAAATCTTTATTAGTAAGCTACTTAAGGTTAAGTTTATACTTTATAACCCTTATTATTAATTAAAGAGTAAACGCTTACTCTTAAGGAATATTAGCGCGAAATAAATCGAAAGGATTATAAATCGAAAGCGCGGATTATAAGGGAAAGAGAAGAAGCCGATTAGCGTTTCTAATTAAAGATAGCTAGGATTAAGCTAAAGAGAGAGCGGTTATATCGTTTAGATTAGTAGAAATAAATAGCGTAAGTGATATTAAGAAATACTTTAGTTATTAAAATCGTACTTTATTATTATCGTAGTAAAATAATACTAAAAAGCTATTCTATAGTAAAAAAAAAACTCCTTATATACTAAATAAGTATTATATAACTATAAAAAAAGGCTAATAGCCCGGAAACGTTTCCTATATACTTATTTACTCCTTATTATTAGGAGTAGAAACACGGGTTATTATAACCCGATAGTTATAAAGGAGGGAGGGGCGGGAGTTATAAACTCTATAGAATAGATTATTAGTAAATAAGATATAATTTTTAGATAAGCTATGAATATACCGGAGACTTTTTCGCTATCGGCTATATCCTTATACCGATATTTAGCCTAGACTAAGTAAAAATAGTTATAGGGAAAAGGGGGGCAGTCTAGGAAATATTTCCTGTTAGTCTATAATACTATAATAAAAAGTAAAGGTAATATACTACGGCCGATAGAGTTCTATTCTATATAAGCCTAATAACGGGTCTTAGGACCTTAACTAAAAGTATCTTACTTTATATAAAGTATATCCACCTAGGAAAGAAAATAGATTAATAATAGTCCCTGAATTAATTCTGAATCGTTTCTTATATTTCCGTTATCGTCCTTTAGCACCTTCCGGAGGAATAAATCTTTTATAATAGCTTTAGCTTTACGAGGAGTATTAAGAGGTGTGTTAATACTATAAGCTAAATTATATATAGCCTAGTAATACTCTGCGGCTTAAAGGTTATCACGAGAGCGTAAGGACCTAGAGGCGCTAGGAGCTACTTAGATATAATAGATATAAAGGATATACTTCTTTAACGCGCCGATAAAGGAGAATTTCGACCGCTAAGCAGAAATAACTTATTAGAATTAAGTAACTAATTTATAAAGATAGATTAACTTATATTAAAGTATATCTTACCGTTTACCTCGAGGAAATAGTAGTATATCTTACCTAGTACTATAAGAACCCTGCTAGCCTTCTATTAGTAATATATAAAGTAATATATTATATCCTAAACTTATATTATTGGTATCGTATTTAGGGAGCTAATTAGGATATTAGCCGCTATCTTTTTTAGCGGTATACTACTAGAACGTATATATCTTATAATAGTTTAAGGGTATATTATCAAAATACTTAATATTAACCTTAGAAAAATAGAAGAGTAGTTAGTTTATACTTAAGAAATAATTCGGAAACGTTTTAGAAACGTTTCCGAATCGTTTCTAGTAATAATCTAAAAATATACCTAATAGATATTAATGCTTTAAAGGAGATAATATTAAAGAATTAAAATATAATAGTGAATAAAGATAGTGATACTTAAAAAACACACTTTATAAAAAACTAAAGTAGCAATACTATAGGAAAATAATAAAATAGTGCTACTTAGGAAAAAAAGGGGAAAACACGTTAACGTGTTACGACACGACTCGTGAAAGAAGGAGAAACGTTTCCTTAGCTTAACTAATCAGAAAGCAGACCCATAGTAACCCTCGGCTTAACTTTTCCCAGCCACCCCCCACACTAACTATCAGCTTAGCCACAGGCTTCAACATCAGTTTACCTATAGTCTCCATTATATGGTTATTAAGGTAATTATAGTATAGTAATCCCTGGATAGCCGCCAAGAGTCTCAAAAGCTCTCGAAGTGAATCGAGCTACCATTATTTCGTATCCTAAAATTTCTATGCGTTTTCGAGATGTGCGACGACGAGTTAAATGCTATAGTGTGTAAGGTAGTCCAGGCCGAAAGGGGGCGAGGGAAGGAGACAAAGGAACAGACGAAAGAGTCTAATTACTGATCAATAACTACGAGGCAGTCGCCTCGAACAATAGGTCATCGCGTTTAAACAACTGCTCTGCAGGCTCGCTGTCCAGAATTCAGTTTTCGTATTAAAGACAGAACCGTCTTGGCGTTTCAAGTGAGAGGGAGAGCTTGGCTGAGCAGCATGACCCACCACATTCGTTCGCGATGCTGGCACACAACTTTCGCGATAACATCTACGGACTAAGATACCAAAGGAGGCCCAGTGAAGGCGGCGGGCGGCAGCAGCCACAAGGCAATCAAGGGAGGATTTAACCCACGTGGGTGTAGGAGTGACAATGGCTAAGGACGACTGGGGAGGATTTCTGTCCACCGCGATGGACTTGTGGCCGGATGCAGGGACGGCCTCTAATCAAGGTACTTGCGAGGAGAGAAGAGCCAAGGGGGTTCAAACGAGTTCAGTGGGTTCAAACATGATTAAAGCTTGGCCGTGGGTTCGGGGGAATGCCATGACCCACATGGCGTGTGAAGCCAAAGTCCTACCGCAGAAGTCCTACGAACTCGTCTAACGGCCCTTGGGTCATCACGCAATGCATTACAAGCGCGACCACCAGACCAGCACAAGGACCGTAGTGAATGGAAGTATTCCTACGAAGTTTTTTGCAACACTGATGTCAGGCTTCATCTCTAGATTACCTTAGAGAATCATAGAAAACCCCGAAAAAAGGAAGAAAAAAAATCGTGACTTGCCAGTCCTCGACTCCAATTTTGTTTTACGCAATTCGTTGGGCGCCAACACTGAAGAGACGCAGTGTACGGATACCCATCCTTGGTTTTCCGTCTGCTTATTAGCTGGCATTTTGTGTGGTCTTACGTACATAAGCGCCGGGCTGCAGGACAGGGAGGCCAGCCCCTCGGTGCCAATTTGGGGCCTAGCTTGAACTGGGTTGTCCGGGGGGGAGGTTTCTTTTCGGCTTCGATAAAGTGATAACAATAGGTAAGGTACCTTCTATGAGATCTGTGTGCACGCTAGGTACTTATTCCCTCGCAATTTGCGCCTTCACTATTACAACGTACAATTGTGACTATACATGATCGATGTAGGGTATTACTATTAGGTAGGTAGATTGATATAGAGATATTTATACTTCTTATATAAGAGATCGGTATGAGCCGTCGAGAGGATTAGGAGGAAGCGTTAAACGAGTTGATCGAGGATCGAGGGCGCAAACCATGGCCAAAGACCCCCGCGAAGTCAATTAATTTCCGAATAGAGACTCTATGTAATTATATTGTACACTACAACGTATGCTCACTCAGCCTTACGAAGAAAACAAAATTGGAAAGAGAGGAACAGATGGGGGAAGGGGTTCAGAAGGAGAGACCCATCCCTCCACTTATATACGGATACTCGTATTCGTACAGAGACAGATCTTCATAGGCATCTCGTGCAGTGTGGTGCTGGGGATAATAAGCCAATACTTGTATGTTTTAATTGAAGGCGCAAAAACAAAGAAGCTTTAGATCCTGTGTGGGTGCTTATTTGTTTCCAGCCTCGCCCGAGTCTCTGGTAATTATATGCCAACCCAGGTTTAAGGTTAAGCGCATAACAACCACGAAGGAGGGATGTACCTAGTTAACCCCCCCCACCCCCCCCGTCCCCACATCTATTCTCATCCTTTCATCCTTCTTCTTCCTTCACCTTTATGTTTTGTTAGCCTATAACACCCCCTCGCCCCTTTCCCTACAGAGGATATAAGGTACCCAAGCAATTCCTATCCGTATCAAGGGGCATAGCTTGACCGTTATAACGGTCCGGCCAGTTACGGAAAGGCGTAAGCATAGCACCCTCCTTTCTATGAAATGGTCACCAACTGTTCGTAGCTTATGCAGGCCTAATACTGTTATCCTTTTGCCTAGGTACGTACCTTAGTTGACATATCTGATGGAACGAGGCTTCTTCTCTCAGACAAAAATTTTATATCGTCTTTTCCTTCTCCATCCCCCGTTCTTCTTCTTCTTCTTCTTCTATTCTTCCTCAGCATTTCTTCTGGGTTTCTTGCATGTTTGCTGCTGCCCAAACAATTTTTGAACCCCCAACCCCAACCCCACGATTCCACTTTGTCATTACGCAGTGTATTGTGCCTTGTACCACCCTGATTATCTTTCCGAGAAAACCCCCCTGGCACTATCTCCGTTGTCCACTCTCCACTGAAGAGGGCAGGCACAGCCCATGCCAACACTACCTTATTTACACTAACTCCATCCATCTGCCAAGCATCAACCTTCATTGCCCCCTCCCGCGGTCTTTCAGGCCGTTCAAATACCTAAGGTCATCTCAGGTACTTTACCTTTCAACCCTTCTCCAACCTTTCTAGCCCATTTCCCTTCTTCGTATTCACTTTTCACCGTTTTACCAACGGTACTGACGGAAGGAAAGGGTAAGGTAATAAACGCCTGCGTATTTTCCCGCGCTGGCTGGAAGAACCCCCCTGTGTCATCTTTTGTCTCCAGGCCCTCCCACACCCCGCCTCTCTACCTCCCGCCCCTTACCTCTCTCTACGAAGTACTTTCTTCGTTTCCTTTTCCTTTTCCTTTTCCTTTCCCCCCTCCTTCTCCTCCTTCGATCTTCGATCTTCTCCCTAGCTTCAGTGTTTCCCCTGCCTCATGAACTCCCGCCTGAAGAGCAGTTTTGGCTTTGGTAAACGCAAATCAGTGACGAGTATCCAGAACCACGACCCTAATAACCGCGCCTCCCCGAGTCCGACCCCTCCACCTCCACCAGGTGGTCCCGGTGGCACTGCTCAAATACCGCAACAGCTGCCGCTCCGTCCTAGTTCCGTCGCTTCTGTCTCGTCCACCGCTTTTACTCCCATGAATCATCCCGGCGCTCCCATCCGCCCTCCTAGCTACGCACCCAACTACGCTCCCGTCGTCGCCCCTGTCGGTCGCACCAGTCCCCTGACGACCAACCAAGGTTCCACTCGCACACCGCCCTCCCAAATGGTCGGCGGTCCACCTCCCATCAACACGGGCGTGCCCGTCGCCGGTTACCCCCCTCAGCTCCCCCCCGTGAACACGCAAGGTCCCCCTCCTATGGGCGGGCCCCCTGGCTATGCCGGCGCAGGCTATGGTCCCCCTCCACAACAACAACAAGGCCCGCCTATCGGCCAGCAGTTTGCTCCGAGGACTGCGGAAGTCGAAGGCAATAGTAGGAACAAGGCCCAGTTGATTGTCGGTATTGATTTTGTAAGTAAAACCACTCGTCTGGCAGATTGAGCTGAGGATATGCCTATCGGGATGGGTTTCCCTTTGGAATCGGATCATCTCAATAATGTGCTGACGGACTGCCTTTCCCCAGGGAACGACATTTTCCGGAGTAGCATTCGCTTTCGCGACAAACAACGAGGCGAAGGAAGATATTATCACAGAGTGGCCAGGTGCTGGTTCGTATACGAAGCAGAAGGTAGGGAGATGCTGCAGCCCTCTCGTCCTGGCAAAGAGTCCACCAGACTTGCGAAAGACCACCGCCCCC